TCATTTCTCTCCCCATTTTTCACCTGGTAGGAGGCTCCATTTTAATTAACTTTCTACTTCTCTCAGCACAGAAAGACATAATGGCCTGCTGTCATGCTAAGAGAGACTAGAGAAACAGAAGTTTCTGCAGCTTGTGAAAACCCCAATTATAAGAAGCATAACTACCACTTACTTGGCGTTTCTTGTGTGCGCAGCACTATGTTCAACCTTTCTGGCTATGCCGTCACCTGAGCCTTACAATTGCTCTATGAGACAGGGTCTGTATCTCCATTTTACTCAGCAGGAAATTAAACTTAGTACCGGAATGTAGCTCATCCCCATCTACCCAGGTGGAAATTGGGAAGCACAGAAACCCAATGCTGAATTTCACATGCTCTTAAGTTTTACAGTTTCCACAATCCATACTAATTCTCTACCTTACCACTTTACGTGCAAATCTATGAACCTGTATCTAAACCCATGAAGTTTTTTAAATGACCATGTCCTTTAAAGGGTGCCCCAGTGATTCCAACTTTAGGACTAGATCCCATAGAAGTTATCTGGGAAATTCATAGATGACTTTGTGTGCACATTCATCGCAATGACAATTACAACAGGGAACAGTGAGGAGTGGCAGGACCATCCAGGGGTGGCCCTCATCCTGAAGTCCTTCCCACCTCTCCGGGCTAGGGAGACAGGTGCTCCTCTGTGATCACACAACACCCTGAACTAATTTCTCATCGCCGCGTCTCCTCTTCAGCCTGTCATTCACTTCTCAAAAGCAGAGCTCTTTTTACTGTTCTTTGGTTTAGAGTAGGCACTGAGGTATCTGATGAAGCTAAAAACCTGGGGCTCAAAAGGACAGAACTCGAAGTCAGGGCCACACACGGATTCTCTCCTGGCTACTGCACTGCCGGAACTCCTGGATCTCTGAACAGCCTACACTGATGGGTAAAGGCTTGAGGCTGGGCAGGAAAGGCAGAAGGTCCCTGCTTGACAGGCTCCTACAAGCCCTCTCTGAAAGGAGCACTGACGCTATCAGAGCCACTGATTCTGCCAGGATGTGACTGCCAAGATGAACTACCAAGCAGCTGATATGAATGGCAAATGGAAGGGTGCAGCTTTAAGGTGGATAAATGCCAGAAATGCATATGTGAGAAGGTTACTCTGGAAATGCAAGAGACACAATCTACACGTAAGGTACATTCTCAGCCTTTAGAAAAAACAGCCCTCTTTAGAGAGAAAGAGACCAGAAGAAAAATAGCCAAACATTAACAACAGTTGTCTTCAGATTGTGGCATTCTTTTTTTTGGTCTTTTTCGTTTTTTATCAGTACCAGGGATCGAACTCACGACTGCCTGCTTGCAAGGCAGGCGCTTATGCTGCTGAGCTACATCCCCAGCCCCTTGTGGCATTCTTTTGTTTCTCCATTTTTTTTTTAGTACTTTCTTTACTTTTATAATCAAAACATAAATAAATTTAAATCACTGTTCTGATTCTATAGGCTTACTGACCCTTCTAGCAAGAACTTTGAAGAAAAAAATCAACTTTCTCTAATATAGTTCTTATCAAACAAATTTCTGGTAACAGATCTAAGCAAGAAACTCCCCCATTTGAATTTTCAGGACCTTCTTATTCCAGCAGTTGCTGTGGGTTCCATTAATGAACTATTCCTGGCATTTTTCAGGCCAGCCACATCCTCACATTCTCTTTGAAGCCTTCCCTCTTGCAGGCTCTCATTTCCTACTGGTCTTGCCTTTACTCATGAAGAAAAGGGAACCCCCAGAAGTCTATTGAGAAGAGCTAATTTTTTGTGGGCTTCAGAGGGCACTTCGTAAGGGATTCAAATGTATTCTGGGCAAGGGTGTTCAAGCAGGGGCTGGGGCTTCCTGAAAAACTGGAATTCTCTCAGGCCAAAGAATAGGTCTGTTTGTTCTTTGTGACCCTGGACTGAGCACAAGACTTATCCCACCTCCACTGCCTAGTTTTCAGTAAACAGGGAAGGAATAGGTAACATGGCACACAGGTGTGAAAGTTTTTGTTTTGTCTTTGGTCTTTCTTTTTCACTAAATCTATTTACCTTCGAGACCCACTGATTTCTAGATTATCCTGGTTATCGCCTAGCAGGCATTTGCACTTCTTTGTGATTAGGTGTGGCCACCTAATCCCAGCACTTGGGTTTACCTGATGAGGCCTTTTGGCCCCCAGAATTCTCCACCACTTTAAAGGCTGGGGAGCACCTGAGTTTGCCAGGAGGTCTGAACATACACATGTCACGTGACCAGGAGCCCTAGGACACCAGGACTTCCATTCTCTGTCTTCCCTTCCCATACCCAGGGTGGGCAGCCTGCCTGTTCTAAAAGAAGATATAGAGGAGAGGAAGGAGGAGCCAACTCCCCCCTCTAACTCTAAAGCTTAAGCAACTTTTTTACTCCACTAGAGCAGCAGATCCAGACACTGGGCCAAGAGCTTAAGGACAGTGAACTCACTGCCCTCTGCTATATAATTATACAAAAAGCAGCCTCATAACTGGGGAATCATAGAGAAAGGAGCAGGGAAACCCAGGAGAAGAACAAAGTAAGCATTGAAGAAAACTGGTCCCCAGTGATAACTGCAATACTCCTTCCTCTATCTACCATTGGGATCCATGGCTTTGTATAATAATCAAACCCATGTAAGGCCTTAAGGAATTCATTCTCTGACTTACAAGGCAGGCATTGTTATGGCAACCATCACAACTTTGACTTTACTCTGGGGGATCAACAACAACTCATTTGATGCAACAGTTTCCATTTTATGCAAAAAAAAAAAAAAAAAGAAGAAGAAGAAGAAGAAGCACTAAAAGTTTGCTGGGCATTGTTGCTGCCCATCATTGAGCAGGTAATTTCCCTTTAGAAAATAAAAGGATCCAGGGTCTGGGTAGAGAATCCTCAGGTTCTGTAGCACCCTGAAGAAAACATATTCTCCAGCCCAAGGGGAATTACTGAGGGAGTAAAACACCTAGAAATTCTCAGAAAAGCAGCAAGTGAGGCTCCGAGATAAACAGGGCCAGGAGGAACCACCAACCATGAGTTAACTTTGGGGAAACCCAGCCTCACATGGTCTTCGGTTTGTTCAACTTCTCCACGGCCAAACATAAAAATAAGCAGCTACTTCCACGGGACTCATTTTAAAAAATAAATTCATTAAATAAACTCAATGAAAACAATGCTTGGTTCTCCCGTGAGGGGCTGAGGAGCAGCCGGCTAAGACACACTTCCCTCCCTGCAAGACTGATGTCAACAGCCCCTGCCTTTCCCCAGACAAAAGGCTCCTGGCACAGGGCTCAGAGGCATCATCTAAGTTGGTCCGATTCCAATTGGGAGGGAGGGGGCAGCCAGGAGAGAAAAATAACTGCACTTAGGAATTACTGACTGTGCTTCCCTCCGCCGAGTAAAGGCTCTGTGGAGAGGGACAGTGGAAGGGCGCAGCTTTCCCTGTAAATTACTTTCTTTGTCTAACTCCGCACCACCTAAGGCCGCTGCCTCTTTTGTCACTGCCGACCACAGAATCTCGGCTCCGTCTTTACTTGCCCGCAGGGCGCTGCAGGAGCAGAGCTGGAAGACCCGCCTTCGGGTCCCTGTCTCCATCGCCCGCAGTCACCCAGTTTGAACTTGAACCCGTGGCCTAACGAACGCCCGGAACTCAGTTTCTCGCCTATGAAAACGAGAGCTTCGGCAGGACGGGCTCTCAACCCTTTCAGCAGCAGTGGTACCACCCTGGAAAGTTGTCTGCTCTCCTGGGGACAGCTTCGTCTCCGGCAGCACCCGGGGCCCGAAGACTCAACAAGTCCAAGTCAGGCAGCGCCCGGCGAGTGCACAGCCGCGCTCCCGGCCCAGCACCGCCCCCTGAGAGGCCGGTTTCTTCCCCAAGCCCTCGCGCTGCTGCCGGCGCAAATCTGATAAAGTCATATCTGCAGAGCTCAGCTGTGCACATGCAGCAAAGAAAAACAAGAGGCCTCTGCCTGCCTCTCTCCCTCTCTCCCGTTCTCTCTGCATCTTGGAATTTCAGACTATGCCTCAAATCGCAGTCTCCACCTAAAACAAAACCAGGGGCTCGGCTGGCCTCGCTGGGAACACACAGAAGCCAGGAAGGACCAGTGACACCTGGGGTCTCAGCAGAGGCGGGCGGGGGCCCAGGGTCCGGATGGTTCTTTCTGCAGGCGCGGGAGGCGCTCGCGATTTCTCAGCAGGGGCAGTCGCCAGGGTTGGGGACCATCGTGTTCAGAGCACGGTCCTTCTTGCAAGGCAACTCAAAGATCCTGAGTTCAACCTCTGCGAGTAGCAGGCGAGGGCTGTGCAGTTTACCCCCCAGGAAAGCGCCGGAAGCCGGCGAAAGCCTCTCGTCCGGGGATGCTCTTTTTGCTTCCTTGTCCGTCCCCCCACCCACCCACCCACCACCACCCCTTTTCAAGTCCGTGGCTGCTGAGTCGGATGGGCTCCCATGGTGGCACCGTCACAGGGTCCCCCGCCCTCCTCCTCCAGCCCTGGCGGAGACAATGGCCCGGTCCCGCGGGGCGCGCAGCGGGGATCCCCGCGCGGGGCGCACGTGCATTTGTTGTGGTGCCCGTGCCCCTCGTCCCGCCGCTGGCCTCGGTTTCCCCATCTGCAAATCCAGCAGGCCAGGTCTGCAGGAGCCCGGGCCGGGCAGGACGTGCTCCTCGAACAATGCAAAAGGCGCGGCGGAAAGAGGGGGTTCCCAAGGCCGGCGCGCACGTGGGTTTGTTGTGGGTCTGCGAGCTGGTAGAGCGGAAGAGAAACCGGAGCGGCCCCTCGGGCTGGACGGAACCGCGGACACCCCACACACCCCCATCCCCACCTCCTTCCACCTTGGCTGGAAGGCGGCCGCCCAGGCTGCGCTGGGCACCGCTGTCCTGAGCCCCGGACGCGCGCGCGCCCGCCCGCGGCTCCGCTCGGCTCCGTGCCCCTCCGCATCCGGCTGCCCGCGCCCCGCCGCGCCGCCCCCGCCGCACCCCTACTCACTCGCCGCGCCCCGCCGCCGCTGAGCCTGCGGCTGCTGCGCCCCAGCTCCGCGCCCGCGCGGGCAGCCAGCCAGCTCCCTTTGTTAGCGCCGGGCCCTGCCCATAACTCCCTCTTCCAGGTGCCCGTGGACTCCGCGCGGGCGCCAGAGGGACAGCGGGGCGCTGGCGCTCCAGAGAGGACTCCCGGGAGAAGGGGCCTGCTCGGGAGCAGCCGGGGATCCGGGATGCCGGGTGGAGGCAGCGAGGGAAAAAGGAGCGCAGCGGAGGGGCGGGGAGGAAGCGAGACAAGCCGTCTCCGTTATGCAAATAGAGTCGATAAGACTGGGGAAGCGCCCAGCCGCCCCGCGCCCTGAAGCAGCCCGGCCCTGCGGAGGTCGCTAGGGAGCCAGCGGGCTCTGCGTCGGGGATGCCTGACTCGGGCGCCTCCGTGGTGCTGGGACACTCTTAGGCTGCGCCGGCCGAGGGGGAGGGGCACTGCGTCGAGCAAGGACACCCAAAAGCTGCCTTCACCTCCCAGCCCCACCCCTCATGTCCAAGAGGGTGCAATTTTAGGACCTTGCAGGTTTGCGCCCTAACTTCGGTTAGGCGCTGCGCATCATAGCTCTGCTATCTGATTAGTATGACCCTAATCGAGTCACTTCACCTCTCTGAAAACTTGCATCATTCTTATGGAGGGTAGGAAAAAACAAAATCTATGGCGCAGGTTTCACAAGAGTTTTCTAACTTTGACCTCGCATGTTGGTCCATGTCTAATTCCAGCTACTTGGGAGACGGAAGCAGGAGGGGCCCCAGTTCAAGACGCCCTGGGCAATTTAACAAGATCCTACTGAGATAAACTAATTAGTTACTATCAAACAATAAAACAAGGACGTGATGTGGTGGAAACTCTCATTCCAAACTGCTGCGGGCAGTGGTCCGAGGCCTCCTGGGGGATGTGAAGGGGGAAGTGCTGCCTTTTCTCAGGGCTAGGGTGGAGCTGCGGAGGAGGAACCTGCTGGGTAAACCAGGCTCATCGTGACTATCCCTGGTCCCAGGGCCGAAGGCAGCCCTGCAAGGTGGCCGGAAGCATCCTGGACATCCCTAAAGCCTTAGAGATGGGACAGAAGGGGTGGGACACCCTAGGAGCAGAGATCATAGCCCAGAGGTCAACGAGTGCTCAGCTTTGTGCTGGGGTGGGGGGGATTGTCTGGGTTTTCTGGATGCTGGAAGCCTGGGTTCTCTCCCCAAGTCAAGGAGGGGCCCCTCCTCTGCACCCTGCTTCCACACGGCTTCCTCCTTCCCCTGGCTGCCAGCCCTTGCCCTGGGGATGCCATGGCTCAGCAGGGGGCTCCAGTGGGGTGGAGCTCCAGATGATGAATGCACCCATGGGTGAGTTCTGGGGGCCCTCTGGGCCACCCTCTCCTCTGTCAGTCAGCTGGAGGCATCAAGGCTAGCATTGATTTTTAGGGATGATGTGAAATGGTTTGTAGGAAGCTCTCAACATAGTTTCTGACCTAGAGAAAATGTGAATGGAAGCAGAGGAACTCAAAGGACTATTTCTGAGAGGAACCTACGTTGAAGATTTACCTTATTCTAAAAACAAAAACAAAACCAGCACCCATGAAAGATTGTGTGCTGTGACATGCTATGCATTCTGTGACACCGTGCTGGAAAATGCAGGCAGCCAGAGGCCAAGAATGCCCTGAGACCAGCTCAGAAGCTGCCCTCTGCAGAGGGAAGCATGAAGAGGACCTGAAATGTGGCAGTGGCAGAAGGAATGAAGAAAGGACATTGAAATCATAGTGACCGTTTGGGGAGTGAAGTCACTCTTCTTCTTGTAGCATCTCTTCTCCGAATGAGGCTGGTAACTCCATGGCCAAGATGCTGAGGGCTCGCCTATTCTCTAGTTCACAGCTGATACCATCTATCTGACCCCCAAATGTAATGAAGAGGAGGTTAATTTTGACTTAGGCTGCTGGCCCCTAGGCAGTACACCATGGCGGAGGAGAGCTGCCTACACCATGGAGCCAGAGACACAGAGACAGAGACAGAGACATCAACAAAGCAGCCTGGAGTGATATTAAGCCCTTCCAGGCCACCTCTTTGAAGCAGACCTCACCTCCTAATAGCCAATCAGCTAGAGGCCCTCCTATTCCAATTGCCTTCCAAAAGGTGAGGTTCATGGAGGTCCTCTAGATAATAAACCATGACATGGAGTCTCTTTCCTAAGGACTCCAGTCCCATTCATGAGAGCTTTGTGCTCATAACCTACTCACCTATGCTGAGCCCCCTCCTAGTGTTATCTCCCAGGAATGTAGGATTTCAGCATGTGAATTTGGGGCCATACATCCAGATGGTGGGGTGGAGGTCACAGAGCTGAGTGTCCACAGGAAAAGAAGCTGTGTGTGCTTCTAAGAAAAATAGTCTATCAAAGCAGAGACCCCGAGACAACAGCTGCGGCGACTGCCTCACAAATAAGCCTGGGGACAAGCCCAGTGTGGTGGCGCATACCTGTGATCCCAGACCCCAGGAGGCTGAGACAGGAGGATTACTTCAAGTTCAAGACCAAGCTAGGCTACATAGTGAGTTCAAGGCCAGCCTAGATTGCAGAGCAAGACCCGTCTCAAAAAAAAAACAAAAACAAACAAATCAGGCTGGAGGCGGCTGCACAACCCCCCTACTAATAGCCCAGCCTCTTGCCTATCACCTGTAGGTGAGAAGTCCCCAAGAAATGAGAGAGCAGCCTTGCAGGAAGCTGCTCCCACCCTGGAATTTTGCTAGGAGCCCCCCTAGTTTCCCTGTCATCTGCCTCAGAGCCATATGGAACTTCAGCACCTCCGAGCACGGGTGGTAAGCCCCGTCTAGCAAGCCAAAACTCCAGCGTGGGCTTGGCCTCTGGTTTTCTCCATGATTCGGAGTTTCAGAACCCAGGGCAGGGAGCTGTGTACCCTTTGAAGGGAGCCTGTCATTTCTCTTCTTTGTTCCTGAGTGGCACTGACCCATGGTCTATCTGCGTTCCTTGTGTTGGCCTGTGATGCCACCAAACCTTAGAGCCACCTCGAGAAACAGAAACAGGAGAACAGCACCCTGCATGTGAGCACCCCAGGATGGCTGTTGCTGATTACAATGAGGTCAACCTACAGCTGAGCCCATGCAGTGTGGAGTGAGGCCCGGGAAAACCCTGCAGGGCAGAGGCCAGAGGAACACGTCTGTGGCCCCAGAGGCCTGAGACTCTGGAACCTCAGAACAGAGTTCAGGAGTGACACGAACAGGAAAAGACAGACTGCGCATGTCTTGTGTGTGTCTCTGGGATGCTCTTTACTCGAGTGACTTCAGGTCTTGGGGCGACAGGAAGATAACCTGAGTCTCCCTTATTGGGTCCATTGTTTTATTGAAATAGCTCTGGGTTCATAATATAACCCTCCGTATAGTGAGCACCTCTGTGCAAGGGAATTGATGTGAATGTTCTGGTTTAATCTTCCCTGAAAGGAAGGGTGTTTTTCTTAGAACCAGCATGTGCCCAAATCACCCTGAGCTTTTTCTCTTCTGAATTCAAGGCCAGTTTTAGCATGAGATGCATGTACGGGGGTTAGGGGAGCAAGGGGAAATACTACAGATCTGACTCCAAAACCAGGAGAAAATAAGAGAGGCCTTTGCTACAGTTTTGATAAGATGGCAAAGTGGCCCCACATCAAATATCATGAGGAAGACCTCTAAAGATGTGCTGACAGCATCTCTTCCTAAAATTCTCACCAGGCAGCCTCACACATTCCCACACAGGCCTCTCCATCTTCCAATGTCTTCCCCTTTTCCCAGGTTCCAGGTTCTTATGTTTGAGGTCTTCCTTAAGTTTACTTCTATAAAGCCAGGTGTGATGGCACATGTAATCCCAGCCCCAGGGAGGCTAAGCCAGGAGGATCACTGCAAATTCAAAACCACCCTGGGCTACAAAATGAGCTCAAGGCCAGCCCGAACTGCAGAGCGAGACCCTATCTCAGAAAGACAAAAGAATAAAGGACAAAAATAAATTTAGTACTATAGAAAAAGTCTCTTAATGTCTTCAAAAGATGTGAAAAAGAAAGTGTGAAGCTAGGGCTGGGGATTTAGCTCAGCAGCATAAGCACCAGCCTTGCAAGTGTGTAGTCATGAGTTCAATCCCCAGTACAAAAAAAAAGAAAGAAAGAAAAGAAAAGAAAGTTGAGAAGCTACCAAAAAATGAATAAAATTGCTAGGTGTGTGGTGCAGACCTGTAATCCCAGCACTCAAAAGGTTGAGGCAGGAGGATCACTGAAAGCTCAAAGCTAGTCTGGGCTGTATATTGAGTTCAAGGCCAATCTAAACTACGTAGTGAGTCCTGTCTCAAAATACACACAAAAAAAGATAAATAAATAAAATCAAGCTAATTCAGCACACACATTATTCCCTGCAGCCCTGTTTAGACTCGGAGTGACCCCCACTGTCAGATGAGAAACAGTCTCAGAGGTGAGGTACGTGGCTGCAAGGCTGCTAGCAAGTATGAGCTGAGTCTGGACATGGAGGAGGCCTTCTTCCTTCAGCCCCATCTGGCCCCCAGGCCTCCAGAGGCTGGAAACCCATCCAAGGGCCAGAGATACCTCACAGGCTGCTGCTGCCCTGGGGCGAGACTCAGAAGCTCTGCCCAGGAAACCACGGGCACCAGCAGTGGGAGGAAAAACAAGCCTTCAGGGACCCTGCGGAGGCGGAGATGCTTGTAATCATCCTTCTCAGAAAGACCTAGGACATTGGGTTCCCTCCAGGGACTCGACCAGGGCCAAAGTGGAAGCAGGCGCCTGGCTGTGCGTGCCACAAGCATGATTGTCGGGACAACCTGCAGAAATGGCCATGGCTTCCTGCAGGAGTCTGTGGGTCAGTGTGGGTCAGTCTTTCCAATTTAAAAGGGTTCAGGGGATGAATATTTAATGCCTGTTGGGAAACTGTCCCAAGCTAGCTTCTTTCCGTTCTCATGGTTTGGTTTGGCCTTGTTTTGTTCTCAGGTTTTTTTTCCCACTTTCACTGAAAACTTTGCATTGACCTTTTGGATAGAAACAAGAATTTATTTATTTGAGTTGAAACATGAATTTATGTACCCACCACACATCTACTGGGACCAATACACTGTTCCTCGTCTAGTGATTCTGGGTCTGGTCCCAGGGTAACCTGTCTCGTCCTCCTTGTCCTTGGTACTCAAGTGTCACCGCCAGGCTGTGGAGACCAAGGCTTGGGTCATATTTCATCCCTAAGTGGATGTGTTTCTGGATTCCAAACCAAATGGATGGATCTCAGAAGTTGTTTTCTGATTCGTTTTTTTAAAACTCATACTCTATACCCTTAGACCTTTTTCTGGGATATTTTTCTGCCTTGGCCCATGGACTGTGCTGTGAACAGCAATCT